CTCTGTAGAAGTGCAACTGTAGCTGACCATCTAGTTGTTGTATCATGGGAGACAGATGACGAATGATCTTAAGCACCATAGGAGTGGTTAAAAATCTGTCTTAAGGAAACTACGTAACTGCATGCCTCAAAACGTATATTTACTTTTATATATTCCTTTCGATTATTTAAATAATATTTTTTTATTTTATCGTCTCGGATTGTTATACTTCTAACACTTTTAACTCTAGTTTGAGAAGATCGATAGTAACATACTTATGTACGCAGAGCTTTTGGTATCATCTGTAAAGTCATAGCCCTCATCAATGTAATTCTTTATTTGTAGGGCGGTCTTGGAGAGCACATTCAGAGAAGTCGCATATGGCTACAAGAGTGTGTTTATTTCGTCTCTGTCTTTGCTGGTAAAAAACCTTAGCATATTGATGAGATCTTATTATGTTTGAGATATATTCTTCTGGATGGAGAGAATATCTCTAGGATTAGATTTTATCATATCACAATCAATAAGTTAATGTTCAACTCATAATATCATCATTTTTTTAACGACAAAGGACAAGTTTAAAACATAATGAATAGTAGAGAGACCATTTTTTAACTTTTAATAGTCGAGGGACTAAACAAAGCAACACTCGATAGTCAGAGGACTATTTTATAATTTTTAATAGCTGAGGGACTTAATAAAGCAATATCATATAGTTAAGGGACCATTTGTATACTTTACCTTTTTTACTTGTAAGTGTTTTTTAATTTTTATTAATGAATTAATTTTATATTGTTAAAATTATAATATAATTTTTTATGTTTATCCGAAATCGAAATGTGGGAAGTCTGATAACTAAACTGGAGAAATTACAAGCTACTACTGTACCTATTGGAGTGAACATGTCTAACTACGAGCGCCTAAAGTTTTCGTGGCATCTGAACAAAATTGAAGCTCAAATTTTGGCAAAGTTCTTGAGTTTTCTGGCTTGCGATGACACAAGTTTGAAACAAATATGTTGGGTAATATCGAAGATTAGATGGGAGGAGAACTGGCCAAGAATGTTCGAGATATCGTCTCCATCTAATAAAATCTTTCTCGAACAAAATGAGGTCTCCGTAATATGCTGAGGTATTCCTATGAGGAAGATCAGACAAAATTAACACCATCTTGGAGGCATGTGCCAGTTCTCCGAATGTGCTCATCGAGACCATATTGTTGTAACCTTGTTCTGTTTGAGATACAGTCTTCTAGATGGATACAATATCTCTAAGGTTCTTGTCCAATCCTCCTTCCATCTCCACTTTAATATTACACAAGATATCATTTCTAATATTGCATAATCGCAAGCGATAAACCTACAAAGTTTAACCAAAATTGCACATCAATTTCATTAAGACGGGGCGACAACCTTAAGAACTTACGGTTAGTGATCTTGACTCCTCCTACAGGAAGACCCTTAGACTGCAAAAGCTTCAGTTACGTTATCAAAATTTCCACATTTTGGTTAAAGATCAGATAGTTCAGGTAACATAAGGAGTTGAAGTTTGTTCTCGTATATGCACATTTGAGTGTCTTGAATGAAGAAGTTTGCCAAAGTTAGTATGCGATCAAGAAGACAATGAACATTCAAACATTTTGAATGATTTTCGTAATTCAAATGGAAGATGTCATTTGATGTACCCTTTATTGACGATGAAAATTATTGCTAAGATTTATGATTGATATTGTCAAGTCCACTTTGAGTATATCAATACTAACATACTTATAGGCGTAGAGCTTTTGTAGTATTTGTCTGTGTTGGAAATTTTGATGAGTCCAACACACCTACTATAGAATACCTAAGATATACCACTCACACTACACCAACTAAGAACATAAAAATAACTAAAGCTTAGTTGGAAAACTTGTGAGAAGAGACATTTTTATTGATACAAAATACAATTACATTATTGTTCATTTACCCCCACTACTTTTCTCTTCTCTACCTCTAAACTCTCTTTCTCTAACTTATATTTTTGACACTCTTTTCTCACCTTTTCACTTTTCTACAATGGTAAAACTCACCCCTATTCATAGATTCTAATGGTCATTGGATTGTTGACACATGTCATCATCTTAACCATTTAACATTACAAATATCTAGATTCTTCTAATAGATAATTCTAGATATAATATTAAATATTACAAATATCTAATTTCTTATGGATACTTATACGCATCTACAATTTCTATATTTTTCTAGAATATTCTTATATATATATATATATATACACACACACATTAAATTTCCCTAGATTTTGCATTGTCTTTAACACTCCCCCTCAATGCAAATTTCTTCCCATGGATGATTTGCAAACCATTTCGAGTGCTTCTTTGATTTTCTTGAACTTTGATTTACTTACTCTTCATGAAAATATATACAACTTGTTCATATGTCTTTGTTGGCACCATCTTGATCTCCCATTCAAGGAACTTTTTGCGAACATAGTAATAGTGCACTTCTATATGTTTTGTCCTTGCATGAAAGATTGTATTCTCTGCTAGACGTATAGCTAATAGGTTATCGCAAAAAGCCTTACTTGATAATCCGTTCGGTAATGAAGGTTTTTCATTAGTTGCTTTAACCAAGTACTTTCTTGTGTTGTTGATGTTGTCTATCAATATTTCACTTCGGTGCTTGATAAGGATATTGTTGGTTGTCTCTTGCTACACCATGATATTGCTCTCGATCCAAAAATAAACATGTACCCTATTGTCAACCTTCGCATATCATTGTCTCAAAACTTCCAACTAACTGTCGTTACATGGTAACATCTTCTAAACTTTTTACTTTATCTTCTTGTAGTTTTATATTATGATATATGGGAGCTGAGATGGGTTTGCAATTAAGCATCACATACTTTTGTAAAAGATCCCATGTATATTTTTGTTGTCTCAAAAATAATCCTTCCTTCGTCTGCTCCACTTCGAGTCCAAGAAAATGTTTGAATTCTCCAAGCTCTTTCATATGAAATCTAATAGAAATATTTTCCATTGCTCTTTGGATCTCCTCATAATGATATCCTGTGATGATTAAGTCATCCACATATATTAACACTATTGCTAGTTTTCCTTGCTCTTCTTTTTAAAAAATAAACTAGAATCTAAATGAGCAACTGTAAAATCACTTTGTATTAAGAACTCACTGATCTTTCCATATCATGTTATAGACATACTTGGGATGAATTTTGCTCTCAAGCCTCTTGGTTACTCTATATAGATGTCTTTGTCAAGTTCTAAATGTAGGAAAGCATTCATGACATCCATCTGTCACAACTTCCAAGACTTACTAGCAGATAAAGCTAGTAAGAATCGAACTATTGTGATCTTTCCACGTGGCTAAACATTTTTTATTGAGGGAAACCTTAAGAACAAATCGAGTTTTTTTATTTATACCATAATAATCGAGCAACAAGTCAAGCTTTATATCATAATCTAGCCCATATTGTCATATTGTCAAATATATCCTATATATTATGTTTTTTTATCATAATAGTCCGTTTGTATTTTTTTATCGTCTCGAATTGTTATACTTCTTTCGGTTATTCTTCTTATTTTATCACATATTATATTTTTTTAATTAGTAAAGAAAAGTGGACAAAACACAAACATAAATGATCAATCATGTAGTTAACCCAAATAATAATAAACAAGTTTTAAAAAACAAAGCATTTTCTTGAAGAAGAGAGGGAGAAGAATATGAAAATTCACATTGTCTTATCTCTCAACCACTTCCATAAGTTAAACTTAATTATGTTAACAGATTGCATAGTTTTTTATAGACAAATTGTATAATTATTGTCTTATTTAAACAGAATGCATTTTTGTTTCATTAATTAATTCATCAAGTGGACTTCCATCAGCAAGTTAAACTTAATTATATTAACAGATTGCAGAGTTTTTTTATAGACAAATTGTATAATTATTGTCTTATTTAAACAGAAGACATGTTTGTTTCATTAATTAATTCATCAGTGGATCCGATAAAATAAACCAACAAATATTTTGATAAAACTAAAATAAACCAAAGAATATTGCAATAATATGATTTCGGAGGTTGCTTTTAATTTGTATAAATGTAACATCATCATCTTTATGGGCCAACTCAAATATGGTCCAACTCAAATAATTTATAGTTCGATTTATTTGATGAAGTAGATTGAAAGGAAAAATTAAGATGCGGTGGATACCGTTTAATTAAACAGTATATATATATATATATATATATATATATGGGTAAAGTGCACAATGATTTCCTTGTTTTATTGAGTCACTCGACTATAGAATGTTATTTTGTTATGTCCTTCGACTATTAAAAGTTACAAAATAGTCACCGACTATTTATTATATTTCAAACTCTTCATTTTCCGTTAAAAATTAATGGTTGTTAAGCTGGACATTAACATGATGACTGAGATATGATAGTTTTTGATATTCTATGATCAAATTTTATCATATCACATCAACAAGTTAATGTTCAGCTCATAATGTAGTCAATTTTCTAACAGAAAATGACGAGTTTGGAACATAATGAATAGTCGGCTAATCATTTTGTAACTTTTAACAGTCGAGGAACTCAACAAAACAACACTCTATAGTCGAATGATCATTTTTTAATTTTTAGTAATCGAAGAACTTAATAAAATAATACCCTATAATTGAGGACAATGTGTAGTTTACTCTATATGTAATTAAGATTTTATGGTATAATGTATGTTTGTGAGATTTTCTTATAGTTTTCTTTGGCATAGTGAAATTTCTCTCTAATAGTTATTTTTTTCCTTAAATTTAAGTGTTATTGTATAGATATTTGATGTTTTTTTTATATAATCACTGGTATCTTATCTATTGATTGACTAATCCAAATCAAATATTAGAATCAATAATCGGGATATAGATATTTGATGTTTAAACATCAAATCGATTTAATTGGTCAACATTTAAAATTTTCATTGGCCAACATTTACAGAAAGAAATCCAAATGATAGAATTTATTGGTGATTGCTTGGTGCTGTAATTTAACCTCCATGAACATGTTTAGAGCTTGAAATGTGGGAGGGCAGATTTACCATCAAGACCTTTTGAATTGAAATAAGAAACATATTCTCTTATAGTGACTTCCCTGTATTTTGGAGGACTTTTTTCTGATAATAATTGCTTAATTGGTCCATAAGTTCTTGTATTTGGCTGGTGAACAGTCCCCAAAAAGCAGGCCACTGATGCTCTTGGCCCTACTGATCTTGACACCACTCTATGCTCCACGCTTTTGAACACATCATTCGATATCAGCTGAAAGAAAAGCACAGGAAACTAATATCGAATTAGTAATCGGGACGTATTCGAGTCGGTTCGTGTATATTCGAATCTCGACATCTGCAACGTCCTTAACGAGAGGCGACGTTACCTGTAGAAGATCGCCGATGTTAACGACTAGGGCACCGGGAATCGGGGTGATATCAACCCATTGGTTTTGATGAAGAACTTGAAGGCCACTAATATGGTCTTGTAGGATCACCGTGAGGAAGTCACTGTCGGAGTGCTTGGTTATACCGAGAGTGAGTTCAGGCTGCGGACACGCCGGGTAATAATGCGACAAAATAATCAGGCTTTCGGCACAATCCATGTCTCTCAGGTGATCAGGCTGCAATCCTAGAGCCTCCGACAGTAACTCGAACAGCAAACAACAGAATTGCCTTACATGCTTTGTGTACTCCATTATTACATCCCTACAAACCAACCCAAATTTTATCCCTAGGCATGTACAGATTTGTCGATGATAATAACGTGCTATACGTCGGTAATACTATTGGTAGTACTACGAGATCTACTATGGACAAATAAATAGAATTGACTGATAATAGATTTGTCCATAACAGATCTCGTAGGCCTAAAGGATTGTGATCGACTAGAGGTACAGAAAATTTTCTCCACATGTGTAACAAGATTTAAAGCATTTTGGGTTGAGTTTATCACGATTATGTAACAAAAAAGAATCAAATGAGCGAATAATAGTATACCTGGATACCTCCGGTAACTCTTCCGGCAGGGGAGGATCGGGAGCCATACAGCAGAAAAGTGTATCCTTCCAGTCTGCTGCCGGTGAGCTATAAAGATGAAAATTGCTACTGTAAATCACTTTTTTCGTACTATCCCGAGTATAGAACTTCTTTTTAAACTCCAAATCTTGCTCGAAAAAACTGACGACACCATCCTTCATATCCTCCAGGACACTCACTGGGATTCCATGGTTCACGACTTGGAAGAAACCCCATGATTCCGATGCGTTTCGAACTTTCTCAACGATCTCCCGACGAGCCCCGGGATCTTCCTTCGTGCCTTCGAGATCGATAACCGGAACACTAGCGTGGATGCCATTGCCACCAACTGAAACAGATGAGTTCTTCTCTAATTCATATGGTGGACGATTGAACATCCGAGGAACATGTTTGATTCCAGCATCCACAAGTCCTTTAACACCAGCTTTTGTCTCATCAAAAGCTTTCAGTTCACTTGCTCGATCATATTCAGGCTGTAGATTCGCCATTGAAACTCTCTTTCTATTTCTACCCCAGAAATTATCAGCGAAAAACCAGAGGAAATGTGGATCTTTATAACACTGTTGAATTGGCTACTGGAAAATTGAAAAGCCTAGTTATGGTTAAGATTATTTAATTGAATTAATAAATATATAATTCTCTTTAACCAATTATTGGTTTAACTTAATTATTTAACAAATTATATAATATTCTTTTTGAAGGAGACAAATTGTATAATTATTGTCTTATTTAAACAGAAGAAATATGTTTGATTCATTAATTAATTCATCAAGTGGATGGATGTAATTCAAACATGAAGTCATATGCACCCCAGATTAAAATAAAGCAACAATATTAATTAAATCTCCTAATTTCTTATATTTAATTGGGTAAATTACGCATTTAATATTTAAACTACCGGGTTTGTTCTGTTTCAGTATTTAAACTTTTATTTTTTTGAAAAAGCATACGTAAAGTTTAATTTTTGTTTCACTTTAGTACCCTACCGTTAAAAACTTTAATTTTTATTCCATTTTAGTACCCATTCAAAATTTATCGTTAAGTTTTGAAAATATTAAAAGTTTAAGTACTAAAACGAACCAAAATTGATAGTTCGAGTACTAAACGCGTTAAATTTTTAATGACAGTGTACTAAAATGAAATGAAAACTAAATGTCATTTATGGTTTTGAAAAAATTAAAAATTTAAGTATTAATATTAAAATTGATAATTTAAATACTAAATGTGTACAACAAAACCTATTCTCATATACAATGAGATAAGGGGGAAGTAGGGTAGTAGGCTGCTCCCAACACCAGGTTGAAAACAGCTTCTGTTGAAGACTTCCGACAGACAGAAAATTAAAAATAAAGATAAAATACATGCATGTATAAATAAATAAATAAATAAATACATAGTTGAACAGTCTTCATATGCGTGTCTGTATTGGAATTAATCCCTGCAAATAAATCCTTGCGTAAGATCTCTGCATATAGACAGAAACGTAAGTCCCAGCTAAAATTAAAAGGAGGGAACCTGCAGAGAAAGATACACAAGGTTCAGCGATAACAAGCTACTAGAAGGAATAAAGTCAAATGGGTTAAAACCTAAAACTAAGGCAACACTACTTCGCTACCCTAGTTCTTAACCTTCATAAATCCCAATGACAGAAACCTATAAAAAGTAGCAGTCATGGAAATTATTACAAAGGCATTAAAAAAAAGACAGAGATACTACACCCTATGGTTGTGACCCACACTACTCGGCTACCATAGTCTTAAGTCTCCATACTTTCCTATCAGAGGTCATGTCCTCGGTAAGGGCTAAATCCTTTAAATCAGATCTCAAGCAGTCTATCCACTTCCTCCTTGGTCGTCATCTCCTTCTGGCACCGTCTACTGTAATCGACTCTACCCTTCTGACAGCCTCCGACGTTTGTCGCCTAAGGACATGCCCAAACCACCGTAGTCTTCCCTCCCTCAATTTTTCGGATACAGGCACCACCCCCAAGGGCATCCTAATTGCAGAGTTTGGTGTCATATCCCACAGAGTCCTACCACATGCCCATCGAAACATTCTCATTTCTACGGCCTCTATCCTCCTTACGTGATCCTTCTTGATTGCCCAACATTCTGATCCATACAGCAGCGCTGGTCTTATTGTCATTCTATAAAATTTTCCCTTAAGTTTTAGAGGCACCTTATTGTCACACAAAACTCCAGTAGCAACCCTCCACTTTATTCATTCCACCTTTATATGGTATGTAACGTCATCATCTACACTCCCATCTTTATGTATCATAGACCCTAGGTACTTGAAACAATCCTTTGAGGGGAGAACGTGTCCTTCGATGCATACATTTACATCTTCATCATTTTGGCTCCCACTAAAATTTGAACATAAATACTCTGTCTTTTTAATATTGATCCTTAGACTTTTTTCTTCTAAAGCAGTCTTCCAGGTAGCCAATCTACTATTCAGCTCAGTTTTTGTTTCAGCAACTAGGACAATGTCATCAGCGAAAAGCATACACCATGGAATACCGTCTGGTGTTGCATAATAGATGTCATCCATAATCAAGGCGAAGATGTAAGGGCTAAGAGCCGACCCCTGGTGGAGTCCGATTTCCACCGGGAATGCCTCGGTGTCGCCAACTGTAGTCCTGACGTATGTAGTAGATCTACAGTACATATCTTGAATCTCCCGGATATAAGCAGTTAGGATTCGTCTCGTTTCCAAGGTCTTCCAGATCGTATCGCGGGGAACGCTATCATACGCCTTCTCAAGGTCAATGAACGCCATGTAAAGATCTCTATTTTTTCCCTATATTTCTCCATAAGCCGTCGAAGTAGATGAATCACCTCCGTAGTAGACCTGTCTAGTATAAAGCCAAATTGGTTTTCCTAAACCCTAGTAGCATGTCTCAACCTAGCCTCTATCACCATTTCTCATATCTTCATGGTATGACTGAGTAGTTTAATACCTCTGTAATTACCACAACGTTGGGGATCTCCTTTATTATTATAGATTGGTATCACCTTAGACTCTCTCCACTCCTCTGGCATCTTGGCAGACTCTAAAATAATATTAAAGATGTTGATCAACCACTTAACTCCCTCTTTCCAAGGGCCAACCACACAGTATTAGGAATTTGATCTGGACCGATAGCTTTTTCCCTCCCCATCTTTCTAAGAGCCATTTTGACTTTCTCACTCTCAATTCTTCTTGTAGGGCAGTCATTGGCCATAGTATGATGGTCGGCTAACCCATCAACGGAATTATCTCTACAGGGAGAGGCACCGTCATTAAATAAGACAAAGAAGTAACTACCCCAAACCCTCTTTATATCATGCTCTTTCACTAAAAGAACATCATTATTGTCCTTAATAAACCTAATGCTACCTAGATCTTTTTTCTTATTTTCCCTGGATTTTGCAAGCCTAAAGATGTCATTTTATTCTTCCTTGGTGTCTAATCTCTTGTATATTTTCTCGTATGCCTTATCATTTGCTTTAGCCACTGTTTTCTTGGCTTCCCGCTTTGCCTCTTTGTATCTTTGTTTAGCTCTCGATCTTTCTTCGTCGTCATTGCATTGTAGAATTTCCTTGAAGCAAGTTTGCTTTGTCTTCACCTTAGTTTGGACTTCGTCGTTCCATCACCACGATTCTTTATGATCATTGACCTTCCCTGTCGACAACCCAATGGTGTTTTTGCCCACCTCTCTGATGGTATTTGCCATATTTTTCCATAACAAATCTGCATCATTCGAGTTAGTAGTTCCAAAACATGTATGAGACAAAACCTTACTTCTAAAGTCATCAGTTGTCGCTCCATGTAAGTTCTTCCAAAGGATCCTAGGTTTACCTAGTTTAGCCCTCCTATGAGTAGGGCTGACAATGGATCGGAGATGGTCAGGTGGAGCTTCATCCGCCCCATCACCCACGGTTTAAATCTCCATCCACACCATCCATCACCCACCAAAAATTTCATCCATATCCGCTCCGTCCATCATCCGCGGGTGGAGCGGGTGGAGCGAATGAGAAATGGATGATACTATGAACAAAACCTATTTTTACATTCTAAGCTCAAATTCTTCTAACATTCATAGAAACCAAACATTGATACTCAAAAATTCATAGAAACCAAAACATGAACAATAAATTTTCATCAAATTCAAACAAAAACAAAATGGAACACAATTTATATAGTCTTGTACACTATGTTTGTGATACATTTTTTAAGTGAATAAATGTATCATGTATAGTCTTGTACACCAAATATAATCTTCAAATCTTCATCAACAAGCTATTACTTCTCAAAAGTCCTCTCCATCCTATTATTAATAGGGATAAACCAATTTTAAAAATTAGACATATTTTCATCGGGTGATGGGTCAAAAAATTTCATCCATATCCGATCCGACCCATCACCCAATCCATCCATCACCCGCTAATCATCCGTTTCACAACGGTTTTCATCCATTTATTCGGGGCAGGTGGGTGGATAATCCACTCACCCATGGATAATTACCAGCCCTACCTATGAGTGCTCCGCCCGTGGCGTACGCGGAACACCAAAACCAACAATATGTGTTGTGATGCACATGTCTCTTCAGGGAACACCTTACAGTCAATGCAAGCCCATCTATCCCGATTTCGAACCGGGATGTAGTCGATTTTGGTATAATGTCCCCCGCTATGGAACGTAATCAAGTTCACATCTCTCTTGTTAAAGAATGAGTTAGTGACCACCATATCGTGTGCAGTAGCAAATTCAAGCAACGTACTCCCCTCCTCGTTCCTACTACCGAAACCCCTATGAACACCGTCATACTCGTCGATTTCACTACCTATATGGCAATTGAAGTCTCCCCTACGAAAACTCTTTGGTCTTCCGGAATGCTCCTAAGTACATCATCTAACGAATCCCAGAAGCAACGTTTCTCCCCCTCCCCTCGTTCAACGTGAGGGACGTACACTGAAAGGACATTCACCACTTACGCTTCTATAATAACCTTAATCATAATGATTCTATTACAGTATCTACAAACTTCAACTATATTTTCCTTGAGCCTAGAGGATACCAATATACCTACCCTATTTCTAGCGTTATCTACGCCTGAATACCACAACTTGTACTCGTTACACTCTCTGACGCGAGCCCCTTTCCACATAGTCTCTTGAATACAAGCAAAATCTATTTTCCTATTACTTAGTACGTCTGTCAGCTCCAACAGCCTAGCATTTAATGTGTCTACATTCAACGTACAAACTCTAAGTCTATTCTCCTTGACATCACTCTGTCGAGCCCGCCCCCTATACGTCCTATGGGATCTAAAAGAAGGACATGAGCTCAAGTAATCATCTATAACCGAAGCTATGAGGAACTATGAAAAAGGAATCCAATGAAGGCAGAATATGCATCAATAAAACGTTAGAGAGTTGAGGGGTACTAAGAAGCATATTTGGTTCCTTAATATGTTTTTAATTTATAAATACTATTGTTATTAATAATGCTAAAAGCCTAATGTTAAAAGGAAAGAAAATCTGCCAAAAAGAATGAAGAAATAACAATTATAATCAAACAGAAATACCAGTGTTAAGATACCAAGAAATCTGCAACAAAAGATCAATGAAATAAACAAAAGGATCAATAATAATTCAAGCTCAGTGGAAGTAGAACACAAACAAAAAAAGTTTTATTTTGTAACAGATATAGATCTTAGAGAAAATCAAAGAAAAAAGAGAGCAATAAAAATAGCTATAATTAATAAAGAGCTCACGGTCAGTAAATAAAAATGGAACTATAAACGTAATTAGCAAATAAAATAGAGAAGAAGAAGGGGGGAAACACATAGACTAGAAAAAATACTACCAAAAATTTATTGCCTATTTTCTAAAAGGGGAATCGTAAACAAAAGCTCAGATAAACTAATAGAAAAATAAGATTATGTTAGTTAAAATCATACAAAATAGAAGCTAAAAAGAAATAAAATGGATAGATCAAAAGACATGAAACAGCCAAGCAAGAGATGAAGAAAATAGGGAAAACTGGTCTGTAAAAGAAACCCCTGGATTTACGCTGAAGAAACTCCGATCTTAAATTAATCCAACTAGAAAGTAATATGAGAGATCCGATCTAGGCAGGGATTTGTAAGAGATTGATGTCGTGATGCAAGGGAAAAAGAAAAAAGGGGATCAGGGAGTTAGGGTTTGAGAAAGGACGGGAGAGAAAGATAGAGAAAGAGAGAGAGACTTTTTGTTCATCTATTCCAAAGACAAGGACACATTAGGGCAATTCCCAAGTTTTTTTAAATACTTTTCTCTGTATTTTCATCTAAATGTGTAATTTCCCCTATTTAATTAGATCTTTAAATTTAAAAAATTATCAATGTATCTCTTTTTCTAATTTAATATAAAAATTTGACTGATGAAAATTATTACAATGTTAACATAACCGTATTAAAACTAAAATTTTTATAAACTCGTAAGGTGACTTTAGTGATTAATATGAGTGTTGTTTGTTTTTAAAAATCACGTGTTTAAGCACTTGCACTTGCACCTGCAAAGTAAATGTATTATAAATAATTAAAAAATATTTTGAACGGATATTATTTTATAATCATTTAGAATATTAAAAAAATCCTTAAATTTTCATTTCATGCAATCGAAGCAGAGCGTACATTTAAAATTTTCAAGGAATTACAACCTTTGCACCCAGAGATAAACCTTTCATAAACTATTCATGTAACGTCTTGAACCAATTATATATTTTTCTTGAATGGTTTGTATATTAATTTAAATAAATGAGTGTAACAAAATTTTTATATTCATTTGATAAACGAATAAACATCAGAAGAGGTGTGTTCAGTTCATTAATGTTAAAAATAAGATTGTTTATCGATCTGTTTATCGACTAGTTTATAATATTATTTATCGACTCATTTATTGACTAGTTTATCGAATCGCTTATAATATCATTTATCGGCTCTTTTATAAGCTTGTTTATTTTATTCTTTTTTCCTTTATTTTTTACATTTTAAATATTAATAAAAGTAGAGACTAAATTGAACATAAGATAAAATTTAGAGTTTAAACTATGAAGTGTAAGAAATTAAGGACTAAAGGCATAATTTAACCATTTTTTCCAAATGAAAGGGTGAAAAGAGAGAGTTGGTTGTTAGGGGTGGGAATAGGCCAGGCCGGCCTACGGCCTGACCTGTATAAAGTCTGGCCTATTTAGTAAAAAGGCCAGGCTCAGGCCTTTTTAAAAGCCTATTTAATTAAACAGGTCAGGCTTAGGCCTATTAAAAAGCCTTATAAGCCTGATAGATTGGCCTATTTAGAGTGACTACTTTGTAAAATGTACTAAGTTAGAGTGACTTAATAGGTATTTTACTCTAAAATTAATGACTAAACTGAAAATATTAAATGTTTATTGTTAAACAGGCTTTTAAATAGACTTTTAAACAGACCAGGCTAGGCTCAGGCCTATAAAAATCATTGTAGGCCAGGCCCAGCTATTAAAGCATGGCCTGGCCTGGCTTGGCCTATTCTCACCCCTAGTTGTCAACGTTAAATTAATGAACATGTTTGCGCAATCGTTAAAGAACATATTTGTGACAAATGAATATAATCACCTTTAAAAATAAATAAATAAATATAAACATGATATTAAAAAATTAAACGAATTTATAGACCAGAAATTAATACTTTCAGAAATAAACAACCGGACTATAACACAACTTTATTTGTTCAATAAGGTCGATTCATTTATGATCCTAATAATTTATAGGGTATAGCTGCTGTAATTTAACCTCCATGAACATGTTCAGAGCTTGAAATGTGGGAGGGCAGAAGTACCATCAAGACCTTTTGAATTGAAATGAGAAACATATTCTCTTATAGTAACTTCCCTGTATTTTGGAGGCCTTTTTTCTGATAATAATTCCCTAATTGATCCATAAGTTTTTGTATTTGTATTGTGAACAGTCCCGAAAAAGCAGACCATTGATACTCTAGTCCCTGCAGATTTTGCCACCACTCCGTGTTCCACGTTTTTCAATGCTTCATTTGATATTAGCTGAAAAAACACAGAAAATTGGTATCAAATTAGTAATCAGTACGTGTTCGAGTCAGTTTATATGAATTCGAATCCCGACATCTTAATCTCAACGAAATGTAAGGTTACCTGTAGGAGATCGCCAATGTTAATGACTAGGGCACCAGGAATTGGGGTGGCATCCACCCATTTGTTTTGATGAAGAACTTGGAGGCCACTAATATGGTTTTGTAGGACCACCGTGAGGAAGTCGTTGTCGGAATGATTGGTTATGCCGAGAGTGAGTTCCGGTTGCAGACATGACGGATAATAAGCCAACAGCATAATGAGGCCTTCAGCACAATCCATGTCTTTCAGGTGTCGAGGCTGCAATCCTAGTGCCTGGAGAATAACTGAACAGAAAATAACCCAATTGCCTTACTTGATTCGAGTACTCCATGATTATATCCCTACAAACAAACCCGAATTTTATCCATAGGCATGTACAGATTTAAAGCATTTTCGGGTCGAGTTTAACTGGATACCACCGGTAATTCTTCCGGCAGGGGAGGATCGGGAGCCATGGTGCAGTAAAGTGTATCCTTCCAGTAAGCTGCTGGTGACCTATAAAGATGAAAATTGCTAATGTAGGCCACTTTGTTCGTCACAATATCCCGAGTAAAGAACTTCTTTTTCACCTCCAAATCTTGCTCGAAAAACCCGACGACACCATCTTGCATCTCCTCCAGGACACTCACTGGGATTCATGGTTCACAACTTGGTAGAAACCCCATGATTCGGATGCACATCTAACTTCCTCAACGATCTTCCAACGAGTCCCGGGATCTTCCTTCGCACCTTCGAATAACTGGAATTCTCGTATGGATGCCACCAACTGAAACAAATGAGTCCTTCAACATATCTGGAGGAGGATGGAATATCCGAGGAACCTGTTTAATTCAAGCATCAACAAGTCCTTTAACTCCTGCTTTTGTTTGATCGAAAGCTTTCAATTCACTTTTTCGATCATATTCAGGCTTTAGATTTGCCGTTAAACTTTTTTTTCACCTTAGCAATTATCAGCGAAACACAGGAGGAAATGTGTATCCACCCCCGCGTTATATGGATTTCGGGGGTTGCTTTTATTTATGATATAGATGAGCACGAACCAAAGCCTTTTCATATATTTTTTGGGACCTGAATGAAACTAAAAGATAGGAAGTATATTATATTACTTTAAATAATTAATTTAATATTATATTAATAAATGGTAGAACAATGATTAAATTAGGTACTCAAATTATGTAAAAAGTATGATTGAAAAAAATTAAGGACTTCAATTATAAGGTAAAAATAAAATTAAAAAAATTAAGGCTCAATTTTAAGATAAAAATTAAGATTAGAAAATGACGGATAATAAGCCGACAGCATAATGAGGCCTTCAGCACAATCCATGTCTTTCAGGTTATGAGGCTGCAATCCTACTGCCTCGGAGAGTAATTCTAACAGAAAATAACCCAATTGCGTTACTTAATTCGAGTATTCCATGATTATGTCCCTACAAACAAACCCAAATTTTTTCCATGGCATGTACAGATTTAAAGCATTTTCAAGTCGAGTTTACCTGGATAACTCCGGTAACTCCTCCGGCAGGGGAGGATCGGGAGCCATGGTGCAGTAAAGTGTATCGTTCCAGTATGCTGCTGGTGAGCTATAAAGATGAAAATTGCTAATGTAGGCCACTTTTTTGGTCCTGGTATCCCGAGTAAAGAACTTTTTAACCTCCAAATCTTGCTCGAAAAACCGGACTACACCATCCTGCATACCCACCAGGACACTCACTGGGATTCCATGGTTCATGACTTGGAAGAAACCCCATGATTCCGATGCACTCCTAACTTTCTCGACGATCTCGCGACGAGTCCCAGGATCTTCCTTCACACCTTCGAGATCAATAAGCGGAATACTAACGTGGATGGCATCATCCGAGACAGATGAGTTGTTCTGTAACTCATCTGATGGATGATGGAACATCTGAGGAACATGTTTAATTCCTGCATCGACAAGTCCTTTAACACCAGCTTTTGTTTCATCGAAAGCTTTCAACTCACTTGTTCGATCATATTCCGGCTGTAGACTCACAATTGAAACTCTCTTTCTACCTCAGAAATTATCAGTGAAAACCAGAGGAAATGTGGATCTTTATAATACTGTTGTATTGACTTCCATCAGCGAGTTGAACTTAATTATTTTAACAAATTGCATTTTTGGAGCAAATTAAAAACTTAATCAACTTAGCTTATTTAATTAAATAAATTTAAGCTACTAAATTCATTTGCGGTCCAAAACATGGAATCTACGGCATCATCATAATCATCATCGTTTTGTCATGCACCTAATATCTGGTATTGCTGATATAATCAACTCCATGGCCATATGTTTAGAACTTGAAATGAAGCAGGGCAGAGGTACCGATATGGTCTTGTAGGAGCACCGTGAGGAAGTCGTTTTCGGAGTGCTTGGTCGTACCGAGAGTGAGTTCCGGTTGCAGACATGCCGGATAATAATGCGACAGCATAGCTAGCCCTTTAGCGCAATCCATGTCTTTCAGGTGATCAGGCTGCAATCCTAGAGCCTCTGAGAGTAACTCAAATAGAAAATAACCCAATTGTCTTACTTGTTTTGAGTACCCCATCATTATAGCCCTGCAAACGCACCTAAAAAGTATGTATGTATGTGTCATGTTTCAGTCATTCGATTCATTGTCGGATCTCTTAACTCGAAAAAACACGGAACCTATGATAAGATACCCGGATACCGCCGGTAACTCATCTGGCATGGGAGGATTGGGAGCCATGAAGCAGAAAGTGTATCCCTCCAGTTTGCTGCTGGTGAGCTATATGATCAAAATTGCTACTGTAGATCACTTTGTTCGTCCCGATATCCCGAATAAAGAACTTTTTCACCTCCAAATCTTGCTCGAAAAACCCGACGACACCATCCTGCGTCTCCTCCAGGACACTCACCGGGATTCCATGGTTCACAACTTGGAAGAAACCCCATGATACCGATACCGACGCATTCCTAACTTTCTCAACGATCTTCCGACTAATAAAAAATAGAAAAGCCTAAGACTAAGATTATTGTCAAATCTCAGCTACTTCCATGATCAAGTTGAACTTAATTAATTACGTTGAAAAACTGCATGTTTATTGTCTAATTTTTTCTCCATTAATTAGTTCATTAAGTGGATATGATGTTATACAAACTTAGAACTCATATGCACCCACACATCCTTTAAACAAATTCGAAAATACAACACTTATTAGCTGGTTTTCGAAGAACGATATTTCATAGACTTCTCTAAACCGATCGGCATTGCCGCTATAATAATCTCCATGGCCATGTTTAGAGCTTGAAATGAAGCAGGGCAGAGGTACCATCAAGGCCTTTTGCTTGGTAATATTCAACATATTCACTTATGGTGATTTCCCTGTATTTTGGAGGATTTTCTTCCGATAACAACTCCTTAATCGGTCCATAAGTCCTTGAATCCGCCAGAAGAACGGTGCTGAAAAAGCAGGCCACCGATACTCTCGGCCCTGCAGAATTCGCCACCACTCTATGCTCCACGCTTTTAAAAGCATCGTTTGATATCAGCTGAACAAGAAAAAACCAGCAAAATACGATCAAATTAGCTTCAAAACCCGGTAAATATCGAGCGAGGTAAAGAGGGGCTTATGAATTATGATTATCCCAGTTGATCCATGCAGGTTACTTGCCTGTAGAAAATCGCCGATGTTAATGACCAGTGCACCAGGAGTTGGGGGTACATCAACCCATTGGCTTTCATGAAGAACTTGGAGGCCTCCGATATGGTCTTGTAGGAGCACCGTTAGGAAGTCATTGTCGGAGTGCTTGGTCGTACCGAGAGTGAGTTCCGGTTGCGGACACGCTGGATAATAATGCGACAGCATGGCTAGCCCTTTAGCACAATCCATGTCTTTCAGGTGATTAGGCTGCAATCCTAGAGCCTCAGAGAGTAACTCAAATAGCAAATAACCCAATTGCATTACTTGATTCGAGTACTCCATCATTATATCCCTTCAAACAAATTTAAGCACCTAATAAGTTATGTATGTATGTATGTATGTATGTATGGTTCACTAGACATGGGAAATCGAGGTGAGTTGAGGAGTTTATCAAGATATCATGAGAATTGTGGCGGAAAAACCAATGGAATAGAAACCTACCGGGACCACAAGCTACAAATCAACTACTCATCAACGCTACTGCGGACACTTTCCTGTCTTGTTCCGGTCATTCGATTCGTTTCGTAAATCGAAAACGGCAGTAATAAGATTCATTAACTCGACTAAACACGTTACGTATATGATAAGATACCTGGATACCTCCGGTAACTCTTCTGGCATGGGAGGATTGGGAGCCATAAAGCTGAAAAGTGTATCTCTCCAGTTGGCTGCTGGTGAGCTATAAAGATCGAAATTGCTGTTGTAGACCACGCTTTTCGAGCTATAATCCCGAGTGAAGAACTTCTTTTTCGCCTCCAAATCTTGCTCGAAAAAACGGAGAACACCATCCTTCATCTCCTCCAGGACACTCACGGGGATCCCATGGTTCACAACTTGGAAAAAGCCAAATGATTCGGATGCACTTTTAACTTTGTCAACGATCTTCCGACGAGTCCCGGGATCTTCTCTCAAGCCTTCGAGATCGATAACTGGAATACTAACAGGTATACCATCATCCGAGACAGATGAGTTCTTTTGGAACTCATCTGGTGGATGATGGAATATCCGAGGAACCTGTTTAATTCCAGCATCAACAATTCCTTTAACACCCGCTTTTGTTTCATCAAAAGCTTTCAATTCGCTTGTTCGATCGTATTCCGGCTTCGCCATTAGAATTTGCAATTATCAGCAAAACACAGGAGGAAACGTGGTGATATAGAACACTGTGGTAAATGGCTAATGGTAAAGCCAAAAATATGGTAATTAGTCAATTATTGCCGTTTGTAAAGTTTCAATTATTGCTGAAAATTCAACCCCATCATTTCAACTTCATTGAAAATTATGCATTTTACAAGTTTCTAGCTACAAGTCAAAAGAAAACTAAAGAAAGTGCACACGCTGCTTGCTGCTTAGGTTCATAAATAACATAAACTATTTATGAAGATGTGGCCGCTGTTTTCGATCTCCATGGTCGAGTTCTGAGAGCTTGAAATGTGGCAATGGTGAAGCACCACCAAGGACTTTCGAGTTGAAGTACGTAATATAGGCTTTGACAGTGGTTTCCCTGTATTTTGGAGGGTTGTTTTCCTATAACAACTCCTTAATCAGTCCGTATATTCTCGAGTCCGGCAGAAGAGCAGTGGTGAAGAAGCTTGCCACTGATACTCAAGGACTTACAGAGTTTATCAACACTCTATGATACACACTCGTAAATCCGTCATTCGATATAAGCTGAAACAAAAAAAACATGTCGGTATCAAATTCAAGTGCTTTAAGATAAAGGAAGAGTCGGAGTAACATCGACTTGCCTGTAGGAGATCTCCTAGAGCACGGGGCGTCGGGGGTACATCGATCCATTGATTTTGATGAAATACTTGGAGACCACCAACATTGTCCTGTAGGAGGACAGTGGGAAAGCCATTGTCTGCATGCTTGCTTGAGCCTAAAGTCAGTTCCGGGTGTGGACAAACCGGATAGTAATGTGAAAACATGACCAGACCCTTAGCGCAATCGATTTCTTGCAGGTAATCAGGGTCGAGACCGAGAGCCTCATACAGTAACTCGAACAAGAAATAACCCAAATTCGTTACTTGCTTTGAGTATTCCACCATTATATCCCTACAGGTAAATTAAGAACCACTTTCATGTCCGAATATGTATACTTCAATGGTTATGTTTTTGCATACCTGAAAACTGCAGGCAACTCTTCCGGTTTGGGAGGATAAGGGGCCATGGAACACACAACCGTATCTCTCCGTTTAGCCGCCGGTGTGCTATACAGATCGAAATTCGAATTGTAAACCACTCATCTCGTGTAATTGCGAGAGAAGAATCAGCTTTTAGCCTCGACATCTTGATCGAAAAACCTATGTACCATCCTTATCCCCTCCATGACATTCATTGGAATCCCATGGTTGAGCACTTGGAAGAACCCCCACGTCTTCGACACGTTTCAAACTTTCTCTACCATCTCCTTACGAGTATTTCGGTTTCGCTTCATTCCTTCTAAGTCTATAACAGGAATACTGATTGTGTGCCACATGAAACTGAGTAACCATCTCTTGGTTGATGGAACATCCTCGGAACTTGTTTGATTCCAGCATCAACAAGTCATTTTACACCAGCTTTCGACTCGTCGAAAGCTTTTAATTTACTTGCTCGGTCGTATTCGAGTTCCGGAGTCGCCGGATCGATCTTCTTCATATATACTCTTGGAGTCGGATATCATTTTTGAGTAATCCATATGGACTATTCAAATCTTCTGATAAATACAAAGGGAGAAGATATTTGTTATATAATGGTAATACTATCCGATTGTAATATATGTTCAAGATTTTTCGATTAACAATTAGTCGAAATTCTTGATAATCGAAAAATAACGTGTTTATAGTTTGATGAGGTCAAGTTCCACATTGCTAACAATGATAAGATGGGTTGAAAAATAAAAGAAAGTGTTTTATTAATGATGTATCAAGAACTCAAATAATGGATCATTAATCAAAGGTAATGGCCATGGGCACGTAAAACAGTCACTATGATATTAAATGTGTTGTAAAACGTATAAAGCTTTCTCAATTTTCATCATTAAATCGGAACGATTATTATCAAAGGCATGTGTTGTAAATTTGGGTGCTCAAGTGTCATCAGTCATTTGTGTTGAGGTGACTGGTTCACATATAAGTAGCTCTCTTTTATTATTTGTGTAGATTTATTCCTTTTCTTCGGTTGAAGGGACTACACTACTCACAAATTAGACATTTGATATTTGTTTTGAGCTTGATCCTATTATGTGTAGCATAAATGGGAAATGACTAACTTGAGAGAGCTGCGGTCTTACGCTATTGAAAACTCTTATTGTCTACAGGATGGAGTGGCTCTACCGAATACAGAGAAGACTTTACCCTTTGGCGGATAGGTTTCAATCTTCATTATTGAATATTTGTCGATGTTGGTCAAATCTGTTTATGTCATTATCTTATAGGGTTTATCTAAAACTTTTCTTCCTCAGGTTAAAATTAAAGATACCATTTGTTTCTTTTCGTTGGTGATTAATTTCATCATTTTTATGTACTTTTCCAGGATATATCAAGATGTCTTCTTTGGACCCAGAGGCACCTTCAGACATGGCCACAAATTCGTACTGACATTTTGACAAAGCCTATAGATTTATTGATGCTGAACAGGCTAAAGGAGTCCTATTGTGAGATCAAGGTGAACCCTTAAGCTCCTGTACCTGGTATTCTTAGGTTTCTTTGCTGTGGAAATACTCTTATTATACTTTCTCAACGCGCAGTTTCACAGGAGGGTGAACTTGATGATGTTGCTGTAGTTCATTCTTATGAGGATGCCATGCCTGCAGGATCTCATAAGACAAGGCTAACTGCTCTGAGTGTATGTTTTAACTTGGACATCATTTTCTTACTTCTCTCCGAAGGATTTATCATTGATGGTTCGTTTTAAACAGGTTCCTCCTATGGGTTTGTTCTACCCAACACTTTTGATTCCCGATTTATATCCTCCTCCACCCCGTTCTTGGTTAGTAATGCTTGTTCAATATTGCTCTCTTCTCTGGAAGTAGTTTTGAATTATTTCCTTTAGGGTTATTTTGATCGCGTGCTTCACCAGGTTTCATGACTATGAAGATATGCTGGAAGAAACATGGCATATAGAATTCCCAAGAAGATCTGACATGCCAGATGGTCTTTATCCTAGCGGTAATGCTGGTTTACAAATGTGGGATAACTATCCATTTTTTCCAATGAAACCTAAGAAAGAAGAGAAGGTTGGCCTAGCGGAAGCCATAACCAGTAGCATTCTTTCAACTGGTAGTTTTTTGCATAGTGATAATTCAGCAGGTTCTAATAACCTATAACACCCCATCTTATTTTGTTATTTGACAGGTCGCATAGACTTGCATAGAAAATTGTTTTGTAGCATTCAATTGGTGAGACTCTTAAAAAGTGTAGACCACATGATATGCTTTCATATTTTAAGAATCGAACTTTTAACTTGGTTTTGTGCTTCAGATTGGTGGAGTGGCTTTAACAGGTGGGCTCATTCCCGCTGTGGAGGAGAGGTTGGTTTCTCTTTCTTCCCTCTTTCCCATCATCCTACTTTGGGCATATAGCAGTTTATATATGCAGTGATGGCATGTTCGATAAAAAATAATAATCAGATTTAGTCGGTTTATTTGAAGCCTACATCATAAAATATGAGGTTTGAAGAGTACTTGGGCTAGGTCAAATACCCAGTTCTATATTGGCACTGTTGACCGAGAACGCATTAAGTGCATCGACTGTCAAGTGGTAATAATGCTTCTACATTACGCTGTGTTCATAGTTTGCAGTCAAGAACCAAATCTTTTATCACAATCAATGCAAACTAGAATGCAATGCATCATCAAATTTGTATAGCATGTATCCTACTATTTTCCATTGTCAGTGGAGATGACTTTTCGTCGGATTAGTTTCGTCGGACCATTATTCTCTTCTTTAAAAACATGTTTGATAAGATGTGCAACATCATCAGCTCATCGCTTATAAACTCCAGGACCTCTCTTTCCCTTTCCATTACGGGCTCGCTCGTCACATGCCATCGTTATAGTTGTCAACCCTACCTATCCCACCTGCTGGACGCTCAACGTGAAATCAAGTAAAGGAATGCTCTGAATATTGCTCGTCATGATGTTATTATTCTCTTTCCAAAAGATATATCTGAAAAGGTGTACGGTACTATCAAGACGTATGGGCGACACAATTTGTCGAATCCAAAAGGGTTGGCTCGCTAGGCCGACCCTTCATTTCCAGTCCAATGTTGATGCCATGTAATTAAGAAAAGGACTAAAATATAAGTTTTGCTACTAGGAGGCCTTATTCATAGTATAGTCCATTGGAAATGGAACATGAAGCCCATTTAAAAAAATGGGTTATCATTAGAGATAACAACCGGTTGAATTTTTGATTAATCCGATTTTTAGGTTAATTCATTCATTTGAACTCGACTTGATCTGAACATTATATATCCTTCATTTGACCCGATCCGAAAATATATATTCTTTACCCGCCTTCTTCAATCCGACCCAAATTTTTGTAGTATAAACTTGATTGACCTAACTAGGTATAAAATAAGTGTTTAATTAAAAAATAATATTTTTTAGATAAATTGCATTATTATCCATGGGTCGGGTAAAGTTGGAGTTTTTTCATCGCCACCTGACCCGATCCGACCTTATCCTCTTTAAAAAATCTGATCCAAACCAATTCGAACTTGATTTTTTTTAAATGAAGATTCTATCCAATTAAATCAGATCAGATCAAAATCCATCAATTTCAGATTAAATCGTCACCCCTACTTATTATTATCAAATGCAATTAATTATTCTCTCCTTTTCTAAATTAATAGCATGTTTTTCACAGCCCATTATTTAAAAAAAAATTATTAAATTATTTTTTTGACTATTCAAAATCAGCATTCAATAGTATCTTTTGACTGTATTAAAGTCTTAGATTATAAGATCAAATTTGAACCTTAGAACTAAAATAATGGTTCTTAAACCTTAAATAAGACGCATAATATTAAAATAGATATGCTCGTATAAATTTTAGTTTATGCGATAACTCCGACATCTTTGCATTATCCGAATTCAGATGAATCGATCAATAGGTCAAATATCAGGTGATTATATTAAAAAAAATAAAAGGATTAAACTTTTGTTTTCTACAAAATAGAGGGGCGAAATTCAAAATAAAAAACATTATGAAATTATTTGGGAGCAAAAGTTTATATGAAGCATTATTGCTCTATGTGGTCAACATAGGCATTGGGTGTCCAAATCCAGCGGCGCGTGGACAACACTGACTTGCCCCACCCATGGTATTTAGTCCACGTCATCCTTCTGTTGTTGTTTGGAGGTGGCTTGGCCGGCTGGCATCGGCTGAGTCCAGCTGGGAATACCTTCCTTATAGCAGAATTTGGTAATTTTAACAATTTAATCCCTTGAGTTTTAATTTTATATTAGATTCTGAACTTGATAACTTTTTCATTTAAAATATTATTTTTGCATTTAATTATTTTTCATACTCTGAAATTTTGTTAATTTAGCTTTTTTACTAATATTAATCGTTAAATTAAATAGATCTTTTTGAATCGATTGTTATCACGTGTCACAACACGATACTAACAAGTGAAATTTTAAAAAATTATTAATTTAAAAAATAGATTTTTTAAATTAATATATATGAATATGGCATGTGATAGTGAATAACGTGAAGATAATATTTTATTCTAAAATAATTATTAAGACGTAATGATCAATTTAATAAAAAATCAATTTATTTATTTAATTAATTTAAAGGTTAAATTTAATAGTTGAAACAACAGTATCATAGAAAAAACAGAGAAAATCAGAAAAGGAACTATCAACAGAAGAAACGAAAGGAAATATGACGATAAAGAATGGACTTTACCTTTGAATTTCAATGGTGGTGGCTCCGGTGGTCGGATGATGAATTCCAACCGTAAAGAGATGCGCATAGATGAGGAGATTAAAATATCCTCATTTGAGCTCCATCCGATAGTGGACGATATAGATCAAAAAAAAGAAGAAAAAATATCTACGACTAGATGTAGGGAGTTTGGAGGGTTTTTTTTAACGATGTATCAGCACTTCTAACTATTTTCAAAAAGATGATGGTAGGGTTGTTCAAAAAATCTGAAACTGTTAATTCATATAACCGTCATATTTAATAAGTAAATTAATCGAACCGTTAATATTAGACAATTTATGTTAGCCGAACTGACAAATGATGATTAATGGTTAAGGTTATGGTTATGAGTTTTGATAAACGATTAATGGTTAATAAGTTAATTGTATAATTATGTTTCTAATTTATTATATTTTTACGCAAATAACTTAATATAATTTTATATTATTTTTAAATTACATAAATATTCAATAAAATTTGAACACAAATAACTTAATAAATATTTTTTGTTATTTTTAATATTTTATTTCTTTGAAAATAAAGAAATATACTTATACCAATGTAATTATGTGTTTGTCGTTAGATATCAAGACATTGGGAGATATAGATACTTACACCAGTGTAAATATGTGCTAAATACTACAGTTTTTAGTATGAATTATGAATTTTTTTACAAATAATTGTAATAGGTTAACATGTAATTGAACCATTAATAACGATTAAGTTACGATTTCAAAAATCTCATAATAATTATAACTATTAATCAACCGTTTAGGCTAAATGATACAATTAACCATCCATGAACAACCATAACTTATGGGATATAACTATTGGCGTGGTGGTTATCGGCATAGCTAGTCCTTGTCGGAAGGCTATTGGATATGACTAATGACCTTTGGTCATGGGGTTAAGTAATTTTCTAATTGTGTATTAAATTTTTAATTATTCTCTTTTTTGTTCAGCATTCTAAAAATTTAAAAGTATTTATTTAATCTATTTTGTAACATCGTTAGAAAATTAACAATTGAGTAAGCAAAATATGTAAAATTAAGTGATGAAATTAAAAATATTGTAAGTTCAGTAAATAAAATAGTAGAAAAAAATAAAATTTAGTAAAAATGTGTAATTTTGTCCTTAAAAAACATGGGGCTAATAAAAGGAATATCTAAAAAAACAGTCAAAGTCAAAGAAAAAGAAGCGCCAAATCCAAGCCATATGTAAAGGGTAAACTTCCAGCTAAGCTTATCCTTTTCACGTGCGTTCCACTTGCTCCCTCCTTCCTATAAAAACCCTCCAAAAGCAAACCAGCAATTCTAAACTCTCATATTTTGTCTCTCTAATCAATCAAAGAAAAAAGAATCATTTACTCTCGCCTGAAACACTAGAATACCATCCATGGCAACTTCGACAAAGAAAACCACCGCCGTCGACGGTGGAAATAGGCGGCAGCCCAGCCGACTTCAACGTCGCGCTCCGGCTTCCTTACAGATCAGTCCGGTTTCCAGCTGGAACATTGCGATCCCACTCTTGTCTCCGCTCGCTTCTTCGCCTCCGTCATTTGATCGGATGGAAGAGTCACCGCGTCAGGAACAGCCGCCGCGACAGATCCAGAAAAAGGAGTCTGAGAAGCTTGTTTTCAAGATGTGGCAGCATCCAGCGGCGCCGTTTTGTTACGAGCCGGCACAGTTGGTGCCGTCGTTTGTGCCGGTTTAGTTGTACATACGAAGACGGAAAAAATTGTAGTTAGATCTAACGGCGTGTGTTAAGCGCTTTTTCGTTCAACGGACTGACGGTGACAACACGTCACTATTTTACAACCTGTTAATATTATTATACTTTCTTTTAAGCTCAAAAGTATTGATTCAACTCAGTTTTGTATCTTTCCATTCATTTCGTTTACTTTACTGTTTGGGAAGCGAGAAAACGATGGAAAGTGAAAGATAACAAACGAAATTGATATTTCAATTCAAAGGGTAAAATGGGGATGGATTAGTTGCCGACTTGATTTGTTTTTATAGTTATATTATTACTATATGACCAGATCTGGTTTGAATGGTCAAAACAGAAATGGTCATCATTTATACTTTATTAATCAAAAGCAGTGGGAAAAGTAATGTTCTACAAATTACATAGAAATCATTACCTTTTAGATTTTTAGTAAATCTATTTTGTTGGATTTCATGGGACCTTGTAATATTTTTTTTATTTTGATACATTTTTTCGATTGTTTGATCGTTATTTTTAATTATCTTTTTTATAGGTGATATTTGTTATTACTAATCAAGATGACACTTATTTGATATATTATTAATCTTCTTCGCTTTGGATCATTGAATTAAATTTAGATACCTGTTATACGTTCATAGATAATTTTTCATGTCTCTCGAGTTTAATCAACAATTTGTCAATGATCTTTTAATAATTTGATTATTTTTTGTGGTACGTTTGTCGATACGATTAGATTTATTTATATATATCTTTGTTTGAATTTCTTGATTAAGTTTTAATATTTCTTTGTATGGTTCTTATGTGACCTTAAGTTATCAATTTTGTTTTATTGATTATAAAAATTGTCCAATTATATGCTTAATTTAAGATTACGTAATTAGATTTTGGAATATTTTTTATTTAAAATAAAATTAGTGACTTCTATGACTTTCACATCACTATAAAAGTAAGTCATGTCATCATGTTATTTTTTATTTAACGTCTGAGTAATCAAAAATAGAATAATTTAGAAAATTAAGTAACCAAATTAAAGAGAAGTTAAAGTTAAGTCACCAAAATAATAATATAGTAAAAGTTGAATGATGGAAATCATAGTTTCCCCTTAAAGTTTACGCAAGCCCTACAAAGGCAACACACTGCACATGCCTTTTGGGAGCATTTGGGGAAATCCAGCTTGCAGCATTAATTTTGTCAGAATCATAATCAAATCCCTCTCACAAATCACATCAAAAGGGACCAAATTTATTTTATCATAAACCTTCAGTACCTAAAATTAATGGATAATTTACGGTCTGGATCGAATAGATCCTCAAATTAAACCACAATTACATGTTGGTCACATTGTCAAAACTTACCTTCATTAATAGCTTATCCATTGCATGGAAGCAAATCCTCCTCCTCAGTCAATCTAGCTGCAGAAACATCGTGTATATAAGTGTCGGGTACGGATATGTATTCGATACGATCGTGTTTAAATCAAAATACAATTTCGAGTACACGAACCATTCGATCTATAAAGCACTAAAGAATGCTATCCCCTTCCTCATCTTGTTGGTGGTTCGATCCACCACTCTCATTGTGTTTCAACCAATGTTGCTTCTGCAAATAAGATAACAGCATAGTCAGGGTCACAACAACACTCGTATCGTATCTAGATATGCATCGGATACGGGGTGTCGGACATGAGTCGGACCGACATAGGAATTAAAAGTTAGTCATATGAGAAAACATTGTTCGATCGACCTTTGCCGGATTCCGCAGATTGGATTTTTTAGGGTTCGGATTTTCGGAACCTGCAAATAATCAAAGCATGAATGAATGTATATATAATTATGTATTTCAGGTTTGAGTACTATACCAGCATTTTCAAGCCATGGTCTACTTGGTTGTTGCTGCTACATAAAAGTAAAATATCACAATCAAGCACACATTGTAGATCAATCTAATGCATATACATATACATGTACATATACAAATACAAATACATGTACATGTACATGTACATGTACATATACATATACATATACATATACATATACATACCTTGGAAGAACCAACTTTTTGAAGGTTCCTATGTGCAGCTGATTTCGAAATTCTTCCATTTTGATCAGCCGGGAAGCATTGAAACTGTATGGATTGTCCTTGCAGGGGAATCGATGCAGTCGTCCGTGCCTGAAAACGTGACTCGATCGACCGACACTCGAAAATTAAACGATGCGAAGTAAATTTATGAGGGCATCAATGACTTCAACAACAGTGTATAGAACATTGAATTGCAGGGGGCATACCGGCTGAGGGTCCTTTTCTTTACTGAAACTCCCACTTCCACATTCGTCCACACTTTCATACCGCGGATAATTAAGATCATCGACACGGGTTGCAAACTTTCTGCCGAGACGATCCGGTTTTTATTCGTCATTTTCGACTTCCATAGCTTGTATAAGAGATTGAAACATTACACACCAGACGTGATAATGATTGGATATACACTTAAATTGGGCAAATAAAGTAGACTTTACCTGTTGGAATCGAACATGAACCGAATCATCACCGTAACGTTTAACGAAAGCTTCACGAGTTTTGTTCGCCACTTCCTCTATTACGTTCTGGTACAATGTTCTCTCTTTAATGTAATGTTGCTTCTTTTTCTTGTCAAACAAGAAACAATTCAATATAAGGTACGATTTAGGCCGAATGTCGGACACGAACGTTGATGTTCCTCCGTTTTTCATCGATATCGATGTTTTCGACACAAGTATCAAATACAAATACTTAAAAAAAAAGGATCGGAACAAGGAATGAGGGTACCAATACCAACCATTGGAGAATATTGCAGCTTAGGTTTTGGCCGGCCTTCTTCATTACCAGAGAAAGAAATGCATGCATATGATCACTTTACAACCACGATGAACACAATGCAATGGTAATCATATTAGAGACCGCAATTTGAATCACCGGCCGCAACTCACCGGAACTCACTCGATCAGATTCTTTCAACCATGGCCGATGCTCCAGTGAGCTGCAGCGTTGCCGGGATTCGGATCTTTAGCCGATTCATGAACTGTTCCATTTTCATCATGGAACAATTGAGCTCCAATGGATTCTTCCGGCAAGAAAATCGATGAACTTGCCTGCATCAAGCAAAACACATTAAAAAATTGTACATACATAAATCGTAAACCGCATCGAAATTATCGTTACGAGATTGGCATGAAATAAATCATCGCCGAATAAGTGATTAACAAGATCATCGTAGCTGTTGTTGGTTGATTCCTCCATGAATTTACTGCTACTGATTCATATGAAAGAAATGAATTGGAGCTGAATGTGATTATTTAAAGAGAAAATAATCTCAGTGACCAAAAATCCCAGATAATATACGATTTTGACCAACTTTTCATTTCACGTTGCGATAGTCTACAGTTGTCGTTGCGATTTTTCAAATTCGTTGCGAAAATTCGTTGTGATAGTTAAAAAAAAAAGATTTTGTTTCTTAAGATTTCTCTCTAAAAAGATAGTATCCGCGCGGACGTGTCGAAGACACATATTACCATTACCACGACCACGACCACGACCCGAGACGGACGGCGGCGGCGACGGCGCTCGAGAGTCCCCCTTGTTCTCTATCACTCAACAAGAAAGTGGGAAAGCCAAGCCTTAAATACCATTCCCAATAGTGTTTCCAATACTATGTGGGATTTGAGCATTACTAACACTTGTTCCCAATACTATGTGGGATTGAGCCTTAAATAGTGATATTATTTTTGAATATTTTGCTTAAAATTGTAATAATCGCGATTAATTGTAGATTGACTTTTAATTATGACATATTTAATCGTATAATACTAATGCAATTGGTTGCTGATTTAGTTGTTTTAAGGTGCATGATTGTTAATTGTTTCCTGAATAATCACATTGTATTGGAAACAAGTGTTGGTAATGCTCAATCCCACATAGTATTGAAAACACTATTGAGAATGATATTTAAGGCTTGGCTTTCCCACTTCCCATTTCTGATAATTTAATTATGTTTGTTATTGAAGGAATAGATTTTGGTCACGCATGTATTGTGTTTTGGTACGATCATCGTTTCATCTTTGGTAAAGAGGCACAAGAAATTACTGTACACTCAACGTGGTCTTTGTATTATTTTTTTCTCTTATTATGACCTTCCAGTTAAGAAAACAAATTTCATTTGACACTTTGACCAACGTTTTTCATCGTTGATCATTATTGTACTAGTATACCAGTTCACGATGCTGACGTGATGGTCCACGGTGTTGATGTAACAATTCATCTATCATGTTTGAGTTACCAATTTAGTAAATCGGTCATATCATCCGTCACGTTAATCTATCACTCTGAATTGTTATTTCAGCACTGTATATTACCATGTCAGCACTGTGGATTGTCACATTAGTACTGTGAACTATTACATTAATACCGTAACGGTCAACGACGAGATAATGTTCATCAAAATATCACATTGAATTTATTTTCTGAGTTAAAATGCTACATTGATAGAAAAATAATACGAAAAATATAATAATTTTTTTCAAAAGTAGAGACCTGTGATTCTTTTTTGCTTTATTTTTTAAAAATAAAAATATTTATTTGTTAAAAAGAAAAAAGTTTTGAATACTCTAGAAAACTTTTTTCTTCATTCGGCAGGTTTTAACTGTTTTAGGCAAAATTATTTTTGAAAAAAAATATTATTCAAAAATTAATAATATACAGAGAAATATTTGTGTAAATTTATAGAGATATTTCTAATAATTTAGAAACATTTGCGTTAATCTACAGAGAGAGAAAAAGTTAATAAATTTACTGTTTTAAAAAAATAATAATGTACAGAGAAAATTAATAAAAATTAAAAAGGTTCAAATACTCTTAAAAACATTTGCGTTACCAAGTTCGAACACTCTAATTATATGCAATAATCGTTGGTGCTCGAACCAATAATCTTTAAAAATGACAATCATTCTTTGAATCATCGAGATAATTTGATTCATACTTACAATTTTCTCTTTACATATTAAAATAGTAATACAGAAAATTTTAAGTAAAGTATACAAATGGTCTCCGACTATAAATTATTGTTTTCTTAAGTCTTTGACTATTAAAAGTTATAAAATAATTCTCCGACTTAAAGTGTTGCTTTGTTAAGTCCCTCGACTATTAAAAGTTATAAAATGGTCACCCAATTATTCATTATGTTCCAAACTCGTCCTTTTCGTTAAAAAATAATGAAATTTTGAGTTGAATATTAACATGCTAATTGTGATATGATAAAAATATGATCATAAAATCTCAAACAACTGTCATATTTCAGTCATCACATTCGCGTCAAGCTCAGACGACAATCGATTTTTTTAACGAAAAAAGATGAATTTAGAACATAATGAATAAGTGAGTAACTATTTTATAACTTTTAATAGTCATAAAATTTAACAAAATAATACTCTACAATCTAATGATCATTTTATAACTTTTAATAGTAGGAGGAAACAAAACATCAAGCAACAAAGTGTCATATTTTTTCGAGGAAGATTCATTGATTAACGAAAAGGACCTTTAAACATTGATTGATTACTAAAAAGGTTTTACAATTTGATAGACTTTTGATTATTATATGAACCCAAATTCTCCCATTGCTTTGTCTTCATCAAGGATTATCCAATCAGAAATCGACACCTACGCGTATCGCCTTCGATCGGACTCTCGAATTAAAAAATTAATCAAAAAATACGAATGTTACATAAATGAAAGGGACATCCTACATTATCTTGTGCATGGAAAATGTTTAGATACATTCTCCGGTTATATTCCTTACACATTTAAAGAGAGTCCAAATCCAAACACAAACTTACAGGTGAAAAGCAGTGGAGTACGTAACGTATCTTCTCCACTACATTTTGTTTTCTTCCTACGTTGAATGGATAGGTTGAAAAAGAAGGTCCCCCAAAAGTATAAAGCTTAAGGGACCAAAATAGTAATTATACCATTTAATCAAGAGATACGAGTATATAAATTATTGAATCGAGATTGGAGAAGAAAGTGGGCCAATTTTCTCAACTTAATGTTCCTCTTCGACATGAATCACGTGACTTAGATACACCCTTAATATCTATGGTGCTTGAATCTGAGTCTTCAAAAAATAACAATAATTTTTTTATCACGAATGTATACTTACACAATGATCTTAATCTTTATATTACATCATCTTTCCTCTTTCCTAACATTTTGCATGGGGTTTAGGATAACGAAGGAGGGGAGGATGAAAATTTAAAAAAGGAAAAGTTTAGGGTTTTTCTTTTCTTTTTTTCTTTTCTAATCTCGGCAATGGCAGACATAAGTAAGTACTTTCAAAACTCCATTTTGAATGAAACTTAGAAGAGCAAAGTCATCTCCTTTTCCTTCAATTCTTCTGTTTGCAAAAACCCCATTTTGAATTCTCAACGAAATTCCTTTGTTCAAGCCTCTTGAAAACCCCCGAAGTCGGGATTTTTATTCACAGCTGCTCAAAGCTTTTTCAACAATGGTAGCAGAAACTTGGATACTCAAAATGGGAAACCAGGTCAGTTCAAATCTCAAACACGCCTTCCTCCTCGACCTCACTTCCAGAAAAAAGAAAACCCAGACCCACCCGGCTTCCAAAAGACACGAAACGATCGGAATCTTGTCTTTTGAAGTCGCCGGTGTCATGTCCAAAACCGTCCACTTCCACAAATCCCTGTCCGAGCCCGAGATCTCAAAGCTCAAATCCGAGATCTTGAAATCCCCAGGCATTTCAAACTTAATCTCAGCCGATGAAGATTACCTTCTTTCACTCGCTTTAGCTGAAAAACTAGATGAATTGAACAGGGTTGCCAATGTTGTGTCTAGGCTAGGCCAAAAATGTAACGAACCGGCTCTGCAAGGTTTCGAACATGTTTTTGGAGATATTACGAATGGGGTTATTGATGTTAGAGAATTGCGGTTTTTAGTTAAAAACATGGAGGGGATGGTTAGAAAACTGGAGAGGTATGTTAATTTGACTGCAAAGTTGTATAGTGAAATGGAGGTCCTGAATGAATTGGAACAGAGTACTAAGAAGTTTCAAGCAAACCCTCATGAGGAAAGTAAGAGAGCTTTCGAGCAGAAATTGATTTGGCAGAGACAAGATGTTAGGCATCTTAAGGATGTTTCACTTTGGAAGCAGACATTCGATAAGGTTGTCGAGCTGTTGGCTAGGACTGTTTGCACTATTTTTGCTAGGATTCTTGCTGTTTTTGGGGAATCTGCTTTGGGGAAAGATGGTGAATGTGGGAGGATCGGGCGGTTTTCGGATCGAGTAGAAGTTGTTTCTAGGCATTCGAAACAGAATCTCAGTAAGAGTAGTAGTGTCGGGAGTGATCAGCCGGGGAATGTATCGACTGGTGTGGTGGAGAAAAGGGGAGTGAGTTCAAAGAATCGGGGGATTGATTCGCGGAAGGGTGAAATTCGGTTGAGTAGGATGGAGGATATCAGTTTTCCTTGTGGGACTACTCCGGGGAGACTTTTCGTTGATTGCCTTAGTTTGAGTAGTTCAGCTTTGAGGCACGTTGATGATGATCGGAGTGTTGATTATGATGACCAAAGTAGACGGATTCCGGGTTGTTGTAGTATTGCAAATGAAGGGCTGAAGAGCGAACGGCCGAATCGATCTCCGCCCTTTTGTTTGGCCCATCTTAATGATCCTCTGAATGGAAATCACAAACAACCCAACTGTGGCGTGTTGAGTAATGCTCAATTTGGTCCTAAAAGTAGGTTAGCTTCATATGCTACACCATCCACCATTGGAGGTTCGGCTCTTGCCTTGCACTATGCTAACGTAATAATCGTCATCGAGAAGATGCTGCGGTACCCTCATTTGGTAGGTGAAGAAGCTCGAGACGATTTGTATCAGATGTTGCCAACAAGTTTGAGACTGTCTTTGAGGACTAATCTCAAGTCCTATGTCAAGAATTTGGCGATATACGATGCTCCGTTGGCTCATGATTGGAAAGAAACTCTGGACGGGATATTAGGCTGGCTCGCCCCACTGGCACATAACATGATCCGATGGCAAAGCGAGCGGAATTTCGAGCAGCAGCAAATCGTTACTCGGACTAACGTTCTCCTTCTCCAGACATTGTATTTTGCCGATAGGGAAAAGACCGAAGCAGCCATCTGTGAGCTTCTCGTGGGGTTGAATTATATATGTCGTTACGAACATCAGCAAAACGCGTTGTTGGATTGCGCTAGCAGTTTCGATTTCGAGGACTGCGTGGAGTGGCAATTGCAAAGCGGAAATTCTTATCTTAATTGATTACATTGTTGAAATTACCATGAATACATGTAGAGCCATGTAGGGTATTTTTCTTGATCCTCGTAGTCGCGTGAAGACGGACGGAGGTTCAACAAAATACTTACACATGAAAGGCGTTTCGTAATCGAAGCCTGAAGTATTGTAGGTATGGAAATTATTTCTTTCTGTTCATACTTTACTGGTTTCTTACGCGTACCTGTGTCCCCGTATACCGTAGACTAATGAAATCAATTCGGTCACATGATAATGCAGTGACTTATAGTTCTGTAGTTTGGATTGCCATTGTGAGGACTGATGGTGCATGATCGATGTTTCTTAGTCGAAATAGACATTTCATCGTATTCCTAGTTGTTTTCGGTTCGACATTTGGTTCGACTCGATGACACGAAGGGCTCGACAATAACTATAAAACTGGTGTTCCTGAAAAGTTAGCATCAAAGTAGCATGCTGTCCCTTAAAGGAAGGAGACAATGAAAGTGCCCGAAGCATGCACGAAGCATGGCATCATTGGTTTTAAGCACTCCTGGAATTTGCATTCTTTCTTTATTTATGTGGATCAATTCCAAAGTCCAATATATTCAACGTGTCTTGAGTTGATCGGTGTCGGTCCAACCGGTACTCGAATTCGTAAGCTCGTGGGTATCGATTTCCGACCAGTACTCGAATTTGCAAGCTCTAGAGTCTGCAATAGTTATAATGTCGACCGAATTAATAATCACTCGAACTCGAACCAAGCTGACCAATACAACCATTGATGATTCTGTTGAACCGGAATACGTTTCTCTTTGCTGTCATACAAAGGGTCTAGATCTGTCCGCAAATCCGACCTTATTTTTAAAAAATCGGATTACAATATGACATCATAGACAAAAAAATTTCTAAACCGATCTTATTTTATAATCATCCCATATTAAAAAAATAAAAATTATTAATATCATTGTTGATGAATGTACTAATTATTAATATCATATTATAAAAAAATCAAAATTCTAAACATAATTATATGATTATTGAATATAAAATTCTTAAGGTAATAAGTATGGGCTTCGATACTTATATAGTTGGGCTTTTTCAAGGACTATAAAACAGAAAAAAGAAATCCCTCTCAGTTAAAGATGTTGAAAATTTATTAGAACCAGAACCGGCGAGGAGAAGTGAAATTTTGAAGCGATGAATTATAGAAGGTTTGGTTCATGTAAATATGTGGATTTGATTCGATTTGTTTGCTGTTAATTTTGTATTTAGATTTACTCATATTGAATTTGTTATTTTTTCTTTTTTTTCCTTAATTTTTTGGAGTATTTTTAACATTAAATTGATGAATTCTTCGAGAATGTTGGAACCTTTTGAATTTAGAAATGGACATGGTCTTGTTTTTAGGGATTTCAGATTTCAGCATTGCTTTCGATGGTAACTTGGTTGATCTATTATGTTTTGGTGTTTTCCACTGTTTATTTAGATTTAATCCTGTTGGATTTGTTAGGTTTTTGTAGTTTCTTGGATTAATTTAAACATTAAAATGATGAATCACTCGAAAATGTTGGAAATCGACGAAATTAGCAACAGAAATGGTCCTTTTCCCTTTCGTGAAGGATTTTCATATTTCAGCTTTGCATTTATTTTTAGTTTGGTTTATCCCTTAGGTTTTTACATGGCGTCAAGGAATAATCCTCTCACAATCCTTATAAATAAATCGATATGTTAGTTGATTCGTTGAATTACTTGCCTATGATAAGAATTGCAATACTAGGATGAGTCTCTGCTTGAATTTTTGCAACTAAGAACACTCGTGGTCGATTTGATCTTTTTAGTTGACCTTTGAAGTTTCCTTCTGGTCAATCATTCATCAATGAAGTGTTACTCTTGGAAATGTTCTGAAAAGTCATAGTTGAGACTTCTTGTATTCTTAAACTGTTTTTAGATGTTAGTACTCCTTATCAAGATTCCCACATTGTTTTTTCAGTGTTGTGTTATCTTTTGGATGGACCTGATATCACTAACTTGTTTTTTTTGGTAACATCGATGATTTGCTTTTTCACCTTATTTTTTTGTAATTATGCTGACAGCTTCATTTGTTGCACCACAAGATAGTACTAGTACTATATGTACTAATTTTATATATGTAATATTCAACTCTGCATATTCTCTTACCTGATTTTTTATAGATTCATTTGATACTTTTATTTGTTATTTAGATTCATTTTTTTCTCTAAATTATGGCTGTGTAACTTATCGTACAGGGATCACCTCTCTTCAAAATCAGCTTTGTTTGATGGCCTTGATAATCTTGAAGAAGGTGGTCTCAGGGCTTCTTCATCTTTCTCTAATGACATTAAGGACCATGACAATGACAAGGCTATAGGGAGCTTGCATGACAGAGTTGCTTTTCTGAAAAGAGTATGTCCTTTCAAAGAGAGTTCACCTTGCTGTTTTATTGATTAGTCCCAACTTGTTAATTATTAAGAATATCTATCTAACCTTTGCATTCTTGTCAAGTTTTGGTGAATGGTCTTGTGGACATTGTTTGACTCTTGAATTTTATGGGGTTTGCATTTAGGACATGTCCAACTATGAGTTCCCGTATATAGCAATAGAATTAGCATGCATAAAAAGCCGGCTTCGCTTGCTCAAAAGAGTAGCAGTACAATAAAATTTAGAGAAAAAAAAAATCATAAGCCAGCTTCATGAAGCCCTTCGTTAGGCTTCCTTTCTTGAGAGCTCAAGCAGATTTGTTCAGAAAATCTATAGTGTGCAGTCTGTTATTTTGTGGGCTACTAATTATAGATTCTCAAGCATGAAAATGCCTGGGGAATGTATGTATTGGATAAATACTAAGTGAAACAATCAAGAGAATAGTAATTTTCCCTTCTTTTCTCCAAGCCACCCTGAAGCAGCATGGAAGTACCGAGATAAGTTATTGAGGGTGATACTAAGGTGTTGTATTTGAAGCTTAGTAACCCCTCAATGTTTATATGCAATGGCTATTTTATCTCTTTGCCATTGACACTAGTCAGCATAAAGTCTTCTATTTATTTGTGTATTTATGGGTCTGTGTTTGTGTGCCACAAGCCTTTTGCCAGCTGTGGACTTCTATTAATTTTTCTTCACTAAAACCAATCAGATGGTGGAAAGTGCCCTGAGATTTTAAGTTTACACTCTTTTGACTAACTACCAATATGCATAAATTCTTTACAGTTAACAGGTGATATACATGATGAAGTGGAGAGTCATAATCGTTTGCTCGACCGTATGGTATGTAATTGCAGTTGCTATTACCTAAACTTCAACCTTAGTGAAAAAGTCTTGTTTCTTTAGTTCATTATGTAAGTTTTTGGTTTAAATCAGGGCAATAGCATGGATGCTTCAAGGGGCATAATGTCTGGCACCATGGATCGGTTCCAGAAGGTATCTAAGCAAGATCTGCTCTTCTATTTTGGTTTCATGTTTGTTTAATTTTGATTTCTGTTGCTGCTAAAAATTGACTCAATAGTACGAGACTGCTACTCTATAGGTGTTTGAGAAGAGGTCCAGCAGGAGAATGTGTAAACTGGTGGCAGGCTTTGTGGTTTCTTTCCTAGTAATATACTATCTCTTTAGGTAAATGGCATATTTAGTTCTCAGATTTTTGTGGTTTAACATAGGCATTTTCATCTCTTTCGCTTTATCTGCTTTGAAGATGTTTATCTTAACAACGATTTAAGGTAATAAAGTTGATCGCATGATTGGTTGAAATTACTTGCCTCTAGTTATAGTTAGTAATGAAATTTAACGAGTTGGAACCTTTTCGTTTTTCATGTGATTAATTGCATCTTTGAATGTTGTAAGATCCTGAACGATTTTAACCTGAAATGGTATCATCAAGTCCGCACGATTGTTGGTACATTCTTGCCTAATTTATTTTTTTGACTAGGGGTAGGGGGTAGGGTATGTCCAAGGATTGAACCCGGGGTTAATGTCAACTGACGACTTGAATACGAGTTCGTTGCCTCTTCCCTGTAGTTCAGTTGACACACTCTTGCCTATTTGATTACAACAGTATATGTGCCGAAACAAAACTCTCCCCCTTTTTCATAAAATCACTAGGAAAACGTGTTTTTCTTCTTGCTCTGCGTTTTACATTGTAGATTTGAACATCATGAGTATGTCTTGAATGAATCTTTGCTGTTGCTGACAGTTTTCTGTATGCAGGATGCTGCGGTATGTCCATGGTTGAAGAACCAAAATTCATAGAAGTCGAGTCGGTCCGTATACAACAATATCTGTCTAGGCTCCGAAATTGTATTTCTTTTCTCGAGATTCCGATACTGATTGTCGTTGGATGCCCGTAAGAAATTACGAATCATTGTCCGACTTGTTTAAGGCAACCCCCACATGTGAATTTTGTAATGTTGATTTCAACAGACAATTTTTTGACCTAAAATGCAAAAAAAATGTGAATGAAACAGAGAAAATGTGAATGAAACAGAGAAAATGGAAAGGATTGGAATTTTTATAAACGGTACTTATATGAACCGGTGTCCATTGCAAGCATGATTTCTTTCCATCTCCTAATCAATAGCACTAGTACAATGTGTTTGGTATGAGGGAAAAGAGAAGGAAAATTTCGCTTTCTTTCCATCGTTTAGGAGTCGGGTCAAGTTTTTGGTGAACTTGATCCGACTTGAAAATATACCCTTCACTCGAAACTTGATCCGACCAAAATTTAAGGGGGGTTTCACCCGATTTGAACATGATCTAATTTTTTTTATATGAAACTCGAATCCGGCTTGACACAATTCGAAATAAATCTGTTAATAAAAATAGAAATTTAATTGAAAAAAATAATATATAAAGAGTTATTATTATAATTATTTCTAAATATATAAGGTAAATTTATATTATTTTTCGGGTCGAATTGAGTACTTTTTCACCTTAAATTCGAATTCGATCTGAACCGAACAAGTTTTCTAAGAAAATGATCCAAATCAGATTTTTTTTTTAAAAAAAAAGACTCGATCAATCGGAATTCATCGAGTTCGAATCTCGTACCTATCCCTAATCGTGTTCTTCATTTGACAGGAGAGAAGGAAAATGTTTTTGTTACACATTTCCTTCCCTCCCTCCAAATCCTATCCTAATGAAGTGAAAAAAAAAGTACTCTGATAATAAAACAATATTATATTTGATCCCTACAAAAATTCCAATTTGTTAGCCTTTATAGTTTAATATGATAAACACTTTAATTTAATTTTTTGTTGTCGCTTTTAATTACATCATGATTGATTGATATTACTGATTAACCGAGTGTCAATTGAGTTACATTCTGATTATTTTTAATTTAAACATTTAATAATATTTAAAAACTTAATAATTGTATTTGACTAAAACACCATATCTAGTTTGAGAAGGTATTATTGTACATCAATTTAAAGATATGCACTTTGGTAGCAAGCCATTGGTGCCCATTTAAAAAAAAACCCTAATCATATGAGCTTACCTCTGTGGTGTCAACTAAAAGGAAAATACATATTAGACCCAATAATAAAAACACTTTGCAATTTGCTCACTAAAAAAATTAAAGTA